GCAGGGCGTGAATATCCATATCCACGGCTCATTTGAGGCCTAAAAGTCATAGTCTACCACGAAGATGTTTTATCAGGGTCTCCAGCCTTGGTTAGCCCTGACCTCTGATTTTGCATGCTTAACCCTCAAAACTTTCAGAACCTCTGCTCACCTTCTCTGACAGCTTCTTGAAATTGCCAAATGCCCTTGGGCAAAAGTGACTCCAAGTGCTGGGGTCCCCTCTCTGGTAAAGTTGCCAGATTTAACAAATTAAAAATAGGGACATCCAGTTAAATTTGAACTTCAGATAAGCAACATATCATTTCTTAGTATGAGTATTTCCCAAATATTATATGAGCATACTTATACTAGAAAATAACTTTTTTTGAAATTTAAATTTAACTGGTACATACACTAAAAATGTACTCATTGCTTACCTGAAATGCAGAATTTAACTGGGTATATTCTACTTTATGTGGAAACTAACTTCTCTGGACTCTTGTTTTCCTGTGTCTTGTCCCAGTAATTCCTTACTTTTTTTTTTTTGGTACCGAGGATCGAACTCGGGACCTTGCGCTTGCGAGGCAGGCACCGGAACCACTGAGCTAAATCCCTGGCCCTCAGTAATTCCTTACTATTTCATTAGCTTTTGATGCTTTTAAGATTTTAAAATCTGGCTGGGAGGGCCGGAGATTTAGCTCTGTGGTTTCGCCGCCTGCTGCACAAGCACAAGGAACCGAGTTTGATCCCCGATACCAAAAAAATAAATAAATAAAAATTTTAAAATTGCACGTGTCTAGGGCTGGGCATTTAGCTCAGCAGCACTAAACCTGCCCTGCAAGCACAAGGTCCTGAGTTTGATCCCTGGTACCAAAAAAAAAAAAATTGTACTGGACATTCCAGTCAGGGCAATTAGGAAGGAAATAGAAATAAAAAAGAATATAGATTGGGAAGGAAGTAATAAAGCTGTATCATCACAAGCAGATTATCTTGTGTTTAAAAAAGCCTAAGGGATAGCTGGGTATGATGGTGCACACCTGTAACCCCAGCACTTGGGAGGATGAGACAGGAGGGTCATTGTGAGTTCAAGGCCAGCCTGGACTATATAGTGAGTTCAAGACCAGGCTAAACTATAGAGAGAGACCCTGTCTCAAAAAAAAAAAAAAGATAAAAAAGCCTAAGGGAGCTGGGTGTAGTGGTGCACATCTGAAATGCCAGCACTTGGGAGGCTGAGACAGGAGGATGGTGGGAGTTTGAGGCCAGCCTGGGCTACATAGTGAATTCAAGGCCAGCATGAACCACATAGTGAGACCCTGTCTCAAAAAAATAAATAAAATAAATAAGAAATCTATGCAGTATGAGAGAAAAATATAATAAATGTTTAAATTTTAAAAATATTTTACAATAAAAGACACTCTGCCATTAATCCCTACAAAACATTACCCCTTGCTTCAAAAACATTTATCCTATTATTCTTGCCACTTCGGGGGGGTGGGTTGGGAGACAGAGTACTCTTAGGGTACTCAGGCTGGTCCTCAACTCAATATGTAGTCCAGGCTGGCCTTGAACTCATGGCAATCCTTCCTCTTGTCTCAGCCTCCCACATGCTGGGATTACAGGTGTGTCCCACTACCTTTGGCCCTTCTGCCACTTTCTGAAACAGTTCTGGATGTCTTCTTTCATAAGTGTCTTTAGTTGTGCTGTCATAGCTAATTCAATGTTCTGAATCAATTCAAATGTTTACCTTAATGTCCTAAATCGATTCAAAACATTTACGTTTCATGGTAATTTTGATTTGGGAGAAGAGCCAGAAGTTGAATGGTGCCAGATCTGGTGAATAATGTAGATGAAAACACACTGTAATGTTTTTACTAGCCTGAATTTCTGTTGGATGGCACCCGGCAGTAGCATTCATATTTTTTATCACACTTCATAAAGATCCTCACTAAAGAGGACTGCTTCAGAAAGTGGAAAAAATGATGGGATAAGTGTGTTGGAAGTGAGAGGGGATATGGGGGAGATTAATAGCAATATGTCTTTTACCAGAATACATTTCTAAAATTTAAACATTCATTGTATTTTTTGATCATACTTCATGTTAAAACTAATAAACAAGCCAGATACAATGAACCACACCTACAGTCCCAGCACTCTGGGAGGCTGAGCCAGGAGGATTGGCAATTTGAGTCCAGCCTGGGCAATTTAGAAACTTAGTAAGACCTCCATCTCAAAATAAAATATTAGAGTTCTGGCACCTGCCTTGCAAGCACAAGGTCCCAAGTTTGATCCCCAGTACCAAAATAAATAAATAAATAAAAAATTTAAAAA